TAAATGGAAAACATTATGAGGTATGAAGCGCTGCTTATTTTTTTCAGAAATGATTTTTATGTCGGATCATGATATGAAGTAATTTTGACACAGAGGATAGAAAGAGTAATGATTTAGTATCACAACATAAAATTAAAAATATGAGGTGTATATGAAAATAATATTTAGTATCAAACCTATTAAATTCATATTAGAAAACATAATAAAGCGCTGCTTCCTAAGTCAGAATATCACGATGTTTTATATATTTGTAAGAAAAGAATGCATATGTTAGCAAGTGTAATCTTTCTTATAAATGTTTTTTTCATTGGAAAAAAATGTAATACTAATAAAAATTCGACAATTTTTAAAATGGTCCTCAAAAGAGATAGAACTTATTCAATTTATAAGGCTTTTACTACTGAATTTAAATTTTTTTGTTAAATATATTAAAACAATTTGAAAAGTTTAAGCAAAGGAAATAGAAGATAATGTTTCCATCATATGTCAGGTTTGATCGAATTGACTACTCCAAGGTCTCGAAAATGAAACTCTGATTATAAAAACTATGAGTAGTGTTCGTAATTTTTACTTAGAAAGTTATCTCTCTTATCAGAGGGTCGGTACCCCTTAAACAAATAGAAGGATCTTTTTAATTTTAGTCTGAACTTTTAAAAAAAAATATGACTTTAAATTTGCATATGGCTAATATTATTACTCATTATTATCAGCACACTACATGTATTTAGCTATTATTGTTGGTATGTAGTATTATTAGTGGCTTCTAAACAAAAATTGTTTTCGTTGCTTTTTCGTTTTTTGCTTTGTTTTGGTTTTGATAAATATCTATACAAGTAGCACCTAAATCAAATTTTATCATCGAAGCTTGTTATTTACTTTAGGTATATTGTGAGTGGAAGTCAAACCAAACTTGCAATTGTTTTTTTTTGTTTTGTTTTGTTTTGTTTTTTTTTTTGTTGTTGTTTTTTTTCCATATATACACTGTAGTTATTTGATGGTAATGTTAATATATTTAATGGCGGGTTGACCACACATTTATGTTGTTTTTCTGTATATAATTATTTGTTGTTGTTTTGAGTATTTACGCATATGGCATCTAAACTGCACTTGCATTTGCAAAACTTATACTTGTGTTTCATGTTACTTCACTACAGTGTTTGTTGTTATAGTATGTAAATTAATATTATGGCAGCTGAACCAAAATTGACCTTATCAAACATATACTAAGTTTTTTTCTGTGTGTTTTTTAAAATTTGTTATTGTTTAAATTATTAATTCGTCTGACATTTAAGCCAAAATTGCACTAATTTAATTTTGTTTGTCTATTTTGTTTTTGTTTTTACTTTATATAACTATTTGTTATTGATGTTTTATATGTGTCAATAGTTGAGGTTTATGTTTAGTAGGTTTGTTTTCTTTCCTGTGTTGAATTTTAATATCTCCCACAATAGACTGTCTGTCTTCTCATCTACCTGTCAAAAAATGTGTTCTCGTAAAAATTCTTCAGCCAAATTGAAAATTTATTAACTTAGTGCCCATGACCAAAACGCGTTCCATGATTTTGATCTTAACCCAAGGTCATAAATCAATGAGATAAGGAACTCAGGTTCATTTATAACCTTTCAACACTCGATTGGAATGGGTACAAAATTATTGTGTCGTTACACCGTTTCTAAGGATGTTTAAAAACATTATTTCCCACAAGGTCATGTCACAGAAATCAAGGTCACTAAGGACTAGACACTGGGAAGATGCTGTAAATGTACCTGGAACTCTTGATTGAAACTTAAGTGTGTTGTTGCCTAGTGTATGTCATGATGTTGAATCCAGATCTCGGGGTCAAGGAACTGGGAATGGGGGGATGAGGGAAACATTTATTTTTAGTTGTAGGTTTGTGAGAATGAAGTCTGCCATTCATTTTGTTTACCTCACATTGCTACAGACACAGGTTTCCATAGTGAATTTCCTAAATTTGGCAATATGGTTTTATCTATGGTTTTTCCTGGGCGGTGAGGGAAGCATAGTATAGGATAATATAGTATTGTGGTATTGACAATAAACAAAATTTTCTTAACCATATTCTTGTTTTTATTTTTCAATTATATCAATGTAGCACTATGTTTAACAGTTTTGTGGACAATATTCTACAAAGAAGCTATAAAAACAGTTGATAAAATTCATTATATCTTTGAAAACTTTTCTTTACTCTTAGATATTTAGCAGACTAACTGTATGAATTATGAGACTTCTGTCAACAATTGTGAAAGCATGTCCCGTATATCTAGAACATTGAGAGCCAAATTAATATAATATTTACAATTAAAAATCTAAATTAATATTTTAACAATGGTTCATAGGCCTTCTGTTCATTTATATAATTGTGAAAACAGTTTTCCTGACAAATACCCATGTTTTAAAAAAGACAATGGGTTTTTGTTTTTTTGTTTTTTTTCAAAACCAATTTGCAGGTAAAACCAAACTCAAAGGCCTGATTCATAGACCCAAGGGTTATGAATTTCGCAATTTAAGTTAAAGGTTGTCTTATGTCTAAGAGTAACAAATAAGATTTTGTTCATATATACATTTAAAATGTCTAAGAAACTTATCCCCACCCTTCGGCCTAAACCCAGGGGTCAGGAATTTCACAATATTTGTTAAAAGCTATTCATTGCTTATTATAGTCATGCCAACAGTTTGACTGCTAGATTGCAAAGAGTGAAGAACAAGAATTCTGAGAGAAAGAGGCCGTACAAGGCGAGGCCAATCCCCCGCTCTGGGACAATATATTTCTCAATTTTCAAAGTTCACAGAAAAGTTATATTTTTCTGAAATAATGTCTTCAGTAATGTCATCTTCAACACATTTGATTCAATTATTTTATTGAATGACTTTTTGATTGATAATTTGTTATTAAAGTTGACAGTAAAGCATATTTAGTGGAAAATGGGTTTATTAGAGCCATAAAAAAATGATTTTTGAATATGAATGGGTCAAAGTCTCCATTCTTCATTAACGTTTAAACGACGGGAAATTAATTGTAAAATCTATTTCGTGTTTCCAAAAAATGGAGTCTGAACCCATTCTATATGAAAACCGAATATTTCTGAAAAAAAAAAGAATTTACGCTTCAACAAACTCGTTTATTTAAATCAAACTGATACAGAACAAGACAAAAAGCCTTGGTAGCGCAGTGGGTAACGCGTTCAGACTTTCGCCTAACCCTGAGCTTTGGAGGGAGTTCGAATCATGTGTAAAGTTTTTTTTCCCCTTTTTCACATACCTTAAAACATTTATAGTGAAAAATAAATTATTTGTCAATTTTTTGTTCAATAAAATATAGGCAGCAAATGTGTAAAAGATTATATTGACAATGTAATTTTCGAAAAATATAACTTTTCACGAACTTTTAGAATTGAAAAATGTCTTCTCTCAGAGCGGGGGATCGTCCGCTCCTTACACGCCTTCATTCTTTTTATTTTTATCGCTTTTGTCCCATAACTCAGGACAAGGGAAGCTGCATGAGAACATGAACTTCGTATTTTTAGTTACCTTTTACCCATACTTTATGCCATAATTGGTTGGAACTGATTCAGTCTTTCCTGAAAAGCTAAAAATGTTCAAAATTTACGGATTACGCACAACATCTGATGACTGGTGAAAACAGCATTAAGTCACTTCAGTGGCTTGGGTGATCTATAAATGAAGGAATAGCATGAATTTGGAATATTTGATTTAAGAAACTAACCACTCCTCTTGTCTATCTGTCTGCACAAGCAGTTGTCTCCTTAATTTTTTTATACGAACAACCTCTGAGTTTCTGTACAGGCTCTAACCGAGTCTGCAGAACAATTTTTTTTTAAATGGGACGTTCTGTCTAAAATACAACATGAACGCAGATTCAAAATTTCTCTTCATTAATAACGTCAAGTGTCTATGAATAACCCATGCTGTAACAATTAATATCTAAACAAACCATTGCAACAAAACCTTAGCGGAACGGATTGACGTGCGTGCAATGAAAAAGGTGAAAAAGGAATAGTGATCGATCTCATAAACCCTTTAAACAATACAAATTGTAAAAAGGGCACAAAGCACTGGTACCTAAATAAGATTTAAAGGTAGAGATTTTTACCGGGTGGTAAATTCCAGGTGAGGGAGGGGCTTATTTTGTACAGGTGTGAATGCCTTGAGGACTAGCAGTCTACCTGTGGTCATTTGTCTCCTAATCCCTATACACAGGAAGTGATTTAATACACAGTAGAGTACCCAAGAAGTCAAACTTTACCTGTGTTGGAATTTTGAGATTATTTTAAATTAGAAATAAAAAGTTGTAAATAAAGTTTAATCTCAATATTTTTTTTATCAATTTGTTATTGAATGTGTGTCAAACATCCCCACCCATCAAAAAAATATTATTCAAATTATTTGTTGAGCTTTGAAAAAAAGTTAAACCAAATTTTGATATATATTATCATAAAGAATACCATAATTATTTCAAATACTAAAGGTGTGTATGAATATATATTATCAAGCTAAGAAATCTATAGAAATACAGCTTCTCTATTGTTTATACCAAATATCAAAGGATCAAAAGTTAATTTGAAGGTCACCACGAGTGCCAAACAAAGTGTACAGGGTATACACAGGGACTAGTTAGTAAATGTCAATCAAGTTCTAGCATCCAATGATGTACCTTTATGCACTTGATTGACAGGGGTACACAGACCAGGTATTTTTGAAGGCGGTGCTTAAAATCTCTGCCTTTAAGCTCATTTTATTCTGTCCATTGATACATTATTCGTTTGTTCTTACATATTACATGGTTCATATAGTCCTTCTGTTCACTCATGTAAAATTTTGCTTTAACACTAACGATTTTCCAAAACAAATTTTATTTTATAAGTAAAATATTCACAGTTTCAGCATACCTTGCAAGGCAAAATTTGACAGCAAATGTTTCTGACAATTTTATAAAGGAATTATTTATCATTTATCTTAGAGTTATCTCTCTTATCATAGGGTAAATGAACCTTAAGATAAAATGTCAGTGATTATGAATAATCTACAAAACGGACATGGCAAAGATTTTGCATTATAAAAAATTATACCGGTACATAGAATGTGATGATATTTTAGGTGGGAAATGGCGACGTTTTCACTTTATCTGAATCTGCTTTAAGGTGATGATTTCTTCTTAATCATCATCGCTGTTTTCTCAATCTCTGTCCCTTTGGACAATACAGGGAACCATGGTTGATCCCATGACGATGATCCGTAAGGTCCATTCAGGTAAGCGTCGTGGCAACCATTGAACCACCACCCGCCTTTGTGATTCTTGGCACAGTGTATGTATATTCCATCATTGTCTCTCTCTGGTGTCGAAAACATCATGTTGTTGATGACGTCATTTGGAGGTCTCTCGGAAATGCTGTTCCCTGTTGAAAAGAAAGAAATTGACATCTTCAAATTGTTGAAGACATAATTTAGAATTTTATATTATATATATGTGATGCTATTTTATATTAGCAAATGAATGTACATTTGTGACAATAAATATTAGTAGTATTCGTAAAAAAGAGACTGGTTCGCGATTCAAGAAGTTTTCTTCAGGAAAAATTCTATTTTCTGCACATTCACGAATAAAACAAATATTGTAAGTTTCTGCAAAAAAAAAAATCTTCTTCAGCATTACTTGCAAAGGGTCTAATAACATCTGAAGGAAAGGAAATTAATTACTCTCTTATAGTTTTTTTTAGAGCGTGGTTTTATGCAAAACGTACTGCACATATACTACATTAGTCTAGAAGTCGTCCAATTTCCGTGGACGTCTTCAAAATCTCTCTATCACTTTTACATGATAATGTTATGTGAGGAGAAATAAAAGAGGCCAGTGCTACTTAAACTTATTTGTCACTATCACAAGTCTGAACAATAAAATAGTATTTGATCATCAAACTTCAGTATACAACGAGTAAACCTAACAAACACCTTCTTCCATTGGTCTCTCCTCGTTTTTGAATAACATTTAAGGTATTTTTGTCTCATTATTATTTTTTTTTTTTTTGCCAAACGAACTAAATAAATGACACATAGATGGATAAATTTTCATACAATTATTAATTACCAATGTCATGATATACTTTCGATTCTTTTCTCAAAATAGAACTATCAAGGTTTGCCAAGTGTCCCTCCTGCAATTTAATTCTACATGTAAAAAATAACATTAAACGTCGATTGCACTCTCTTAAATGATGTTTCAATGATGGATTGTCACTTAAATACTATAAACATGTTCGAGGATCCAGATGATCAGATGGTTATAAATAAAATACAAAAGCAATAAAATATCCAGATAACAATGTTTTACATCTCCTTATGTAAACATTGTAAAACTGAGTATAATTAGTAAAATGTAGTTTCCTTAAAATTCAATATATATTGATTTTGAGAGTATCGTATACCATCACCAAATACAAGTGGTACCTGTAACATATTAAAAAAAAAACCTTTTTTTTCCAATTTTGTTTACCTACCTAGCGCTTGAAAATCCGTTGCCCTTTTCACCAAAAATCTTACGACTAAGATAAAATTAAGTTACAATTCTGCAATTATTTGTTTAATAATGCTTTTTTCTGAAATATTATTTATAAAGTAATCTAATGTAATCGAAATGCAACGTTTTCTGTGACTTCAGCTTATATACTTCTTTTTTAAAATGGGAAAAATTTTGTCTAAGTCGTAAGATTTTTTTGAGAAGGGTCACTGAGGATGTATATGAACATTATAAAATCCAGTAACCAATGTTGGAAAACCATAAAAGTAACCTGATGGTGGTCAAAAGGATATCCAACCCTTACTTGCAGAATCAATGTACATTTCTGCATTTACTATACTCGGAAATCTTTATTTTCGTATTAGCATCATTTTATTGATTTCAAAAAACTAACCCAGAGTTCCAGAGACCTTGCCGTCTATGAATAGCCTATAATTGCCCGCTTCATTTGAAATGGCGAATGTCTCATACACTTCATATAAAGTGGAACCATTTTTCAAGGTAATGGCGACATACAAGGAGCTGCCCCGATCTTTAGTTAATTCATAAATTACTTCATTACCTGTATCAAAAGTAAAAAAAAGTCAACTTTATTTTATGCTGCATTCAGCGTCTTATATATACAGCCAATTTTATTGAATTCCATGTATTTGCATAATACCAATCCAATATTCTTTAAAAGGATTGCCAAATCCATTCTTATAGGCGTCCCAATTCTGGGTAAAATTCGTAGATCCGTCTAAGCGTTTCTGAATAACCTAAGGAAGTATATAAAACCAGGAGACATGAATATACAGAAAAATAATGTATAATTTTAATTAAATAACTTTAAATATATTCTTAAATACTATTTTTACGTTCTAAAATTTCATAATATTATTATATGATTGAAAAATTTCTTTCTTTCTGATTGGCTGAGATCCAACAATGTAGAAAAAAATACTACGCTATATTCACCTGCACGTGACCTTCCAGGTGAATATAATGATTTACTTTTTCCACATAAGACTAAAAATAGATTGGGAAATTTCAAATAGTTCACGTTTGAATGAAGTCATAAAAGGGTATCTGTCAAATTCCAAATAGTTTTAGAAAGTTACTTGCACCTGACGTCCACTCATATGAACATAACATTACTGAACATAGATTCTTGGATGAGGGGTGGGGGTTTTAGGAGGCCTGGCCCTCTCCCTTTTTTTTGAGAATGTAAAGATTTAATTTACATTAAATTTTAAGGATAAAAATTTTCCCCTTCCCTCATTTACGGACCTGAACATCCCATCAAATAAAATTTTGAGTTGTGAGAATTCTTTTCCTTTTTTTTTGGGGGGGGGGGGGATTTGTTTTCAGGTAAGTTGTCATTTTTTTCCCCTTATAATTTTATTTTTATCTACATTGCACCTAAAAAAGAGTTTTGAAAATTCCAAAATAATACAACTGGTTATGTTTTTTAACCCCGTTTATCTCATTATGTTTGGCTAGTACTTCAGTAAATGTAAACAAGGTGACAGATTACTTACTGAGCGTGTCATATAATCATTGAATCATATAATAAAACAATTATTGCTGGGGGGGGGGGGGGTCTGTCAACACGGTGAATTAGCCACCTTCACCTCGCCCCTCGGGCTCGCTGAATATTGTACCCCTCAGGTGTCTAAATCATCGTATTGACCTCAAAAACCAGCAATAATTGCATGATAGTTTCAAATGTAAAATGTATCTATGTATTAATTTTATGAATATAGTTAAGATAGTTACTCTTTTATGACTTCATTCAAACATGAATATCAAGAAATAAACAGCAAATACTCTCTTACTTGTACTTCATATCATACTGTTTATTAAAGTTTATAAGCGGATTTTCAGGAATCTCTTTTTTTAAAGAGTTATTAAATTTAAAGTTATTAAATTGATATAAAAAATAATCCAAAAATGAGCTTGGACCCCATTCCACTCCCAGGAACATGAATAACGAGTATTTTTTATTTAAAAATAAGAAAGGGGATCGTCTATAAAAAGCTTCACCCCGCACCCCCACCCAAAAATTTGGCTTTTCGTATTAGGGCGTTGTTGGGTTTTCTTTTCTTTTTTTTTTCTTTTTTTATTTTTTTTTTATTTGGGTTTTTTCCCCTTATTTTGTCAAAAAATTTCTGAGTTGGGTTATTTTTGAAGAGAGAATTGACCCCCCCCCCTTTCCACTCCGGGGAAAAATTCCGGGAACCGCGCATGAAGACAATACAAATCAACATTTTTAAGCACTGACGAACCGTCCAACCGCCTCCGGAATTACTCATGTCACAAAAGATGTCACTGGGAATGTTGCTGGTAGACCGAGGGTTGATTGTATATACTCCGGAAATTCTGTGTCCCTTCTGATATAATTCTAGACAATCTTTGGCTGAAATAATGCAAACAAAACTTTACTTACTATATATTGAAAATGGTTTTGGGAAAATAATCGACAAGATATTTTTAAAAATTACAAGGTGTAGAATGTTTCTTTACAATGTTTAAATTTTCTTTCTCTGCGATAGGTAATTCAAACAAATTTTAATGTGGAAATATACATGTACATCTACTGGGGTACAGTGTATATCTTTTTTTGTTTACAAAAGAATTCTTTTATTGGATATAATTGAAAAGAGAGGTGGAATCTAGTTAAAATGTTAAAAGCATGAAATCTATTAATGTACAAAATTGATCAGAAACGCATATTTGGTTCCTGATGCTCGAGAATACTTAAACAAATTATTGATTATTTAGAACCGCGGGGGAAGTATGGTTGCAAAGCTGAAACTTAAAGGAATTGACGGAAGGGCACCAACAGGAGTGGAGCCTGCGGCTTAATTTGAATTTGATTCAACACGGGAAAACTCACCTTGTCCGAACACTGTAAGGATTGACAGATTAACGAATAAACTTTCTAACATACAGAAATATCATAAAATATAACTCATGAAGCTTCATACGTACTGTAGATCACCAAATTTAATTTCGCCAGATTGGCATTTGGTATTTAAAGTGTGGTAAAATTTACACGAATTGTGGTTATTGCCATACGCAAACTACACTAATGAAAATGCACACGAGAACGCAATTTTCGCGAGCAGACAATCTCGTGTAATTACGCGAAAATAAAGATCTTGCAAATAGAAATGATTGATAGTACATGTATTGATTTAATACCTACACCACTTGACCGTGTAGTATTTCCACCCTGTTCCTGATATCATTTCACTGATGCTGCAATTTAGATGTAATCGACATTGTCTTGTATCTGAATTATATCCAAGGCACAAACATTTGCCTGTACACATTGACACACATGCGGTCAAAGACATTACTTGATAACTACCAATTAAATGACCAGTCTCAAATTTGTTTTCTGCATCCATTCTGTATGTAAAATCCGCAGTACGAGATAAAGAAATTTTAAAGACACAGAATAAATTGCACAAAATTAAACATTTCATATTTCAACAATTGATCCAAAAGAAAAAAAATTATAGGCACTATCCTACTCTCCAAAGTAATATACAAAATATTTTCAACGTCTATCTGAGAAACGGCCTGATGTATTTTTCTGCTTCATTGTATACTCCTGTTTGCTATTTTAAAGAGGTGCTTCATATGTAATTAACTCTTTTTTTAATTTATCGATTTCCACATGGTATGCTGCTATATTATTGCATTTTAAATAAGCAGTTTATCGTGCGGAAGAATATATCAGATTTACAATATTTTGTAATTTTAACGTTCGGGATACATTAAGAATCTATAAATTAAAGTAGCTGAAATCCTTCCTGAAAATGGACAGGATTTCAATAGCAATCCAAGCAGCGCAAGAAGGCAATTCGTAAACATAATAAATAGAAAATTAATAAAGATGTATTCATTCCCTTTGATGCAAGGTTACAATTAATTAAAAGAAGATATAGTAGCCGTCTCGTAAATGCTCTGTCCCTCCATAACAGTTTCAAACTTTATATGCGGAGTTTCATTTGACCACGTGCATTCTTATAATTATAACAGGCATAGGAGTCTATTATCAAAAGTCAAAGGTCAAAGTTTAAAGGTAGTGAAAGACTAAAAAAATGTGGTGGCTAAATAAAGACTACCACTGTATATCTACTAGTAAGCGAGATCCATTCATATATTCTTTGGCGAGCTAATTAACGATCACCGCCAAAATCTGAATTCACATAATTATCAAGAATGATTCAAACACCTAAAGAGTTCAATCAATATTGAATAAATTAATCCCTAACGTCAGTACACGCTAACGTATATACATGTAAAGCACTTAAAAAGCATTAACCTACATGGAGAAAGTTCTCAATCTTAAATTATACCAACTACCAAATATACGAGTACTATATAGGTAGTGAAGGTGGAACTAGACCATCAATCTCAAACTTAATAAAAATACATTTTACATGTAATATATTACGTATAGGTACCGCAGTTATTTTGATGAAAAAATTTGGACAGACATACCACAAGCATTGTAAGTTATACAGTCATTCGATTTCGTTTTACGTTTTTTTTTTAAATTTGATTTAATATTTTTATTTTATTTTATTTTTGGTCGCACGCTTTGGGTGAAAACTGAGACAATCCAAGCCAAGACCTATGTAGATACTCATATTGCTTCACCAACTCTAGTCACTTGTTTGATTTGCTAGACCAAAGCCGTAGTTCAAAATGCATGTGTAAATGCCAAAGATATGTGTTGAATCCTAAATCCTGCAGAAATATACACCTCAACATCCACACTTTGAATAAAATTGTATATGTATATCAACCACATATATGTGAATCTTCTCTAGCAGACTGGAGCGAGGGTTTCTATTCAAAAGAATGGCTTAAATAACTTTTCTCGATAGTATTTGATAAATAATGTTAAGGAATGGACTTATCCTAAAACATCTTCTGTTCATTCAGTCGGAAAATGTAAGTAAGATGGCATCTGTGCCATTTCTGGTAATGTGCAACCCTTGCATCACTGGTGCAAGTTAGGTCACGATAGGGCTTATAGTAGTTACATAAGAATGAGACTCGCTATAAATTCTTTAACCTGATCACTCACCAAGAAAATGTAGGTCAGATCCAGCATCTGAAGCAATTCTGGTAGTGTGCATCCGAAGATGCATCATGAAGCATGTCTGACCAACAAGTGCTTATATTATACTTTCATGTAAATTAGTTGAATCTGATTCGTCGAGAAACATTTGTTAAAAAACACTATTACCCGCTGAATGATGAAGCCACGCCCTCCAGCGTAACAACAGTCAACTTCGCTTGACGAAGGGTGACATTCCAAAAAATACGCAGCAGAATTTATGTGGGCAAGGTCCACTGTTATATGTATGTGTATAAAAACATTCAGTATAATACAATAAATATTGCATGCAGTTGAGTGTAACATTGAAAAATGTTCACCCCAAGAAAACCATTGTCAACCTCGGCTGCGCCTCGGTTGACAATGGTTTTTTCAATGTAACACTTAACTACATGCAATATTTACATAATAGCTGCTCTGCTCCAAAAACTTTAACCTGCTTTAAAAACATTAACTTGGCCATTCTTTAGCTGAAAATGCAGCATCTGAAATCTGACTGATGATAAGGAATTCCCAAACACATTAGATCAGGCGACTCTGATTAATATAGGGCATGGGTATACTTTAAAAAAAGTCTGCCTTAAAAACTTTTCCCTAGAACGCCGATGCCGACGGTATTACAAATTCGTAGTGGTGAGCTAAAAAATATGACGTTAACGTTATATACGAGTACGTTGGCGACGAAATAAGTAATCGAAATGAAGATAGGATACGATATTGTTTTCTGTTGTTAATATTTACGAAAATCCTCTTTGATTTAAAAAAAATGCTACTTTTCGCTCCGTTTTTAAACACGGCGTCAGATCAAGTAACCAGGATCTTCTAATTTTAGATTTACAAATGTTATGCCATTTTCAATTTTTGACTATGAAGTGCACAAGCGACACTCATCATATTTTTAGATATTAGTGTGTAGGGTATATCTAATTACTGGGTAAAACTATTTGAGTGTCCCTATGCACTTTACATTCTAAACATCCATTTATAAATGCCACTCTTTTATATTTTTCCATAAGCCTAATGTTAACGTATTTGAGGGTGCATCTAGGTATGTGTCAGCTACGGTGTGAATTCATCTCATAATGACTTCTGAAATATTAATTTCAAAAGTTAACACATTTATCTTGAATTCTAAACTAATTTTGAACAAATAGAATGAAATTTATTTTTATGACATTAAGTGGGCCGCTGCATGAGCAGACTCTTTACATTCATTTCTCCCTAGAGTATTAACTGATAGGAAATTTAAAACTTTTGGGGGCTCTAACAAGTACATTCATTTTAACTGTGGTACAAAAGTCTCCTGACTATTAACTGACGCTAAATTTTAATGTGTTTTGTTTAATCAAATGTGAATTTCGATAATTACTACTGATTATCCCATTCTGTTCTAAGACTTTTCAGTTTCATCGTTTCAAATTTCAAAACAGCGAAACACTTTCCATCAGTTTAAAGAAATCAATATAATTTCATTATTTATCCACTGTTAATTGATCTTCTTTAGAAAATTATCAAATGAATTTCTAACAGGTGGGAAAACGACGCAATGTTCTGTAATCAAAGTCGTCGGAAAGGGTTGGTGGGGGGGGGGGGGGGGCTGTGTGAATCGCATAGTGATACCCTTTAAAAAATCGAAAAAATCATTAATAAAACAAAATAAGTTCATTATTTATCTGTTTTAGGTCATGATGCTAAATTTTGTTTATTGAAAAAAGATGACTTCCTGAATTGCAGAACGAGGATTTTTTTTTGTTTATATGTATTAGAAATATCCCATGTGCTGTCATTCAACGCAAACATCATGCAAGTTATGTACGTTGGTTGTTCTCAGTTTCCTTACCTTGTGAAAAACTTAATAATAATTCAACCCCTAACCTTTCCTGGAAGAAAAAAAGATGAGTTTGTACAAATAAGTGTTTAGTTGAAAATATTTTTTTTGCATCAGGAATTTCAAAACAACGAATACATTTATCAAAATTGCATCAGGTCCTCAGTAGTGAACACCATTTAATATTTGAATATTAATATCAAGTCCATGATTAGGACTACCATTTAATAATAATTCATATTTAGAGATATGATCACAATTTATAATATTATGTATTGATTGAAAAAGTACATCTCTTGGAATTGTATATTTTGGACATACAAAAAAGTCATGGTAGGCATCTTCAATACTTTCTGCTAAAAATAGGTTATATAAATCTGCCATCAAATTACTAGCATTACTCCTTATCTGACAATGTATTATATTTTCTTATTATATTTTCTACAAAAAAAGAAGATTTTAAAAGACTCTTAAACGAACATATTCCAGGAGCATTTTTAATATAATCTGGCAAGATATTTGATTGTTTGACTGTGGAGGGAAGAAAAACTTTCCATGTAGACTGTTTGGCAGTCTGCTTGGGACTCTTCTGGACAAGGCAATGAAATGAACCGCCGCCTTATAAATTCTTAGTATTTTTTTATATTCCAAAATTGAATGTTTAAATAGTTTGAACAAATAAAAGAATAATTTCCAGAATTTATAGTTAATTATGTACCAAATACCGATATTTTAGTCTCAGTATCACGATACGTATCACGCAATAAAAAATCGCGATATACCAGTATACCGATAAAATCGCGCATCCCCATTAACTATACAGTGCTTTGAGCAAAGTTGGGATTTTTAAAAACCAGACGGACAAAATAAAAGAGCATGGCTGGATAATATTTTAGACAATCATAGATTACTAGTATTAATGTCATTATAAAGTTTGGTACTCTTTTCTCAAAATCCATTATTGAAGTTCCTAAGTGTCCATATTTTTTTTCCCTCTTAAATAATTCAAGACTATTATTTCGTTCATGTAAATAAAAATATCGAGTATATTGGAAATATCTCAAACACTCTCGGTGCTTCTTTCATCGTGCAACGTTTACAAATCTGTCCATATGGTAATAAATGAAATTATAAAACAATAAAATATCCAGATAACCATGTTTATCTTCCTTTCAAGTTTAATATGGCGTAATCTGTAAGTTCTATTCTACTTAATTATAATTGTTTAATATACATGTAATTGACTTGAATCGATCTTACTTTTTAGGTCACCTGAGTCACTCAGGTGACCTATTGCTATCTCTTTTCGTCCGTCGTCGTGCGACGTGCGTCGTGCGTTAACATCTGTACATTTTCAGCTTCTTATCTGAACTCTGAAAGGGCTGAACCAATTTCAACCAATTTTGGCATATAGCATCTATGGGTGAAGGGGAACAAATCTGAGAAATTCAGGGCCACGTGTTAGAATGTAAATTCAATATTCTGCTATTTCAAATTGTTTATTCCTAATTCATCATTAAAAGGCCTTCCTGAAAACGGACAGAATTTCGATAACATTCCATGCAACGCACGAAGGCAATTTGTTAATAACATTTATTTCATATAACCCTAAAAATGGGGGGGGGGGGGACTATATGATAGCGTTTCATTTCATTTTCTATTGATCAAATTAATTAAATTAATTCTGTTAAAATAGGATCTTTAATGTGCACTTTTTTTTCAAACTTTAATATTTCCTTGTTAAGGAGGCCAATTATATACACTAAATTTCAAAACTATTTTTAAAACTAGTTTTTCTTACGATCCAATTTATTATATGCAAATAAAAATGGATGCTTCGCACGTTATTTTTACCGAGCCGATGTAAAGAGAGTGTTTTAAAACCACTTAGTATTATGTTCCATGTGCACATGCATATTTGGGATGAAATTGAAATTTTGAACAACCTGATATACTTGTACATGTGTATAATGCTGAATAAGATTGGATAAATCTAAAAACTCCATTCAACTCTAAACACAGATCTCTATTTCTTGATTACCCATTTTTTAAAAATAAACAAATTAAGGGGGACCCCCCCCATTCACCACTGCTGGTAGAAAATGGAATGTATTGAGTATCTTTTTAAATTCATCTGTTGTGGTTGAGCATTGCTGATGTAAATAATGATTTTACTAAAGTTCTGTGATATAGACGTTTTTAAAGCTATTTTCACGCAAGACGATTTTTTAAGTCAATTTACTAAAGTTTGACCATTTCCGACGTTTTGTCAGTGTATGCTTGTTGTTTGCTTTTCGGGCGAAACTTTAAGGAAGAAAACACGAGCACTGTATTAATTGAGTGGATGAGAAAAGGGACAGAATAAAAGTACAGCACTAAAATTGTCAGGACTGAACACTATACTTCTATGATCAGTTGTCTTTTTTGATAAAAGATACATGTACCTTTTACTACGCACGACCTAGAGAGAACAAAAAAGTGAATCCTTCAGATTTGTAATCTATACTTCCAATTTCCACTAGTCCAGTTATTTAATAATTTTTTACGTGAAACTGGGAAATAATTACAGCAGTTTCGAAACTTAGTTGATATCAGTCTACAAGATGATCTGAATAAACAGTGCAAAGTTCAGAAAATTTCAAACATGAGCAAGTTAAAATTTGAGGCCATCATTGACATGTATTTTATTTAAAGTGATAAATTGAAGGAAACAGAATCAAATGATGTAAATGATAAATGTAGCATTAAAAACTTCATGATATCAATTCCAATTCAATAGGAAATAAAACGTCAACTGAATAAACTGGAAAAAAGTCTTCTTTTATGTCACATTATTTTCTTGGCTTTATAAATCGTTTTAGGCACAGACAGTTTGGCATTAGATCTTTTCAAAATTTTCGGTATAATTTCGTGATATATATATTGCAATTAAGGGCATTTTTGACTGATATATTTTACAAATTTCTCTTTTCCAAATTTGGGCAAAACTACGCATTTCGGGCGTGTTTAATTAGAATACATCCCTGCTGGCCCCCACGAACTAAAATTCATCCGTAATATTTAACACTAAATGCTGTGAACGTGTTTGAAACACATTTGAAGTTTCCTTTGTAGATGATAAAGTAATCAGGTCATCCAAGAGAGATAAATCTATTTAATTCAGATATTGGGAGGTCAGTGTTCAGATTTAATCCCAGTGGCAATCTCTGTATAATTTCATTTGGATCAAGGTTAATGCCAAAGGTGCTTTTTTCAAAATTTCGTCTTCATTTACTAAAGTGTAAATTTAAAGTATGTTGATTAGGATGGTTTTTCCTCAGCATAAACAAAAAAAGAAATTCCTTTAGCAATGTTAAAATCAAGACAAAACTCATCTCCTATTTTTACACTATTTCACTTTGTAATGGTTTGAGCAATGGATTTCAGCCTGGGTAGCTCAGTAGGTAGAGCACCTGAATAGTGATACAGGATCCCAGGTTTGATTCCCAGTCCAGTGGAGCATTTTTCTCTTTTCCTGTTACATAGAAAAAGACTGCCTATTTATGTTATTTGGTGCCGTGACCAGGGTTATGTGTGATGTTAGATAATGATCAGAGTAAGTAGTCCACAACATATATAAATGTATTTTGTTACTATTGTCAGGGTCAAAGGTAAATGCAAAATTCAACCTTGATTACATACTTAAAACATCTCACAAGATTGACCTATGTGTGAAGTCTGAAGAATAAGCTATAAATAGGTCACTCACAACAAAGTAAGACTCATCACCTAGAGAATTACACATTGAAAACAGTGTAAAATTCATACATTGAAAAGCTTTGAAATTTTATTACACATACACTTTTATAATAGAACGTACATGTAAATTTACAAATGTCAATCATACAGCAATTACTATTAACCCGCAAGTTCAATTAATATCCTGCAAACAATTTCCAACATTCAATATCATGTTGGCTGTAGATACAGCATTTCTTAAAGCACTGACATTTGAAATATAGGAATCTACAATACAAGATTTAGTCTGTGAAATTTGTTGAAGATTACTTATGTCATTTTTCAAAACTGCATCTTTTATCGAGGAGTGTGAATCAATCTTCACATCATTCACAGACATCAAGTTATCCATTTGCTCAGTCACCATCCCACATGAACATGTCAGATTGTCAAGGTTACAGTGTTCATCACTATCAAGTGGAACTCTCCAGCAATGAAAGGTAGGAAAGGAAGTCATCATCATAACCCCAGGGTGCCCAGATGATTTGGCAACCTGTAACAAGCTATTACAAAAGATTTCACAGGCTGCTGATAATGCTGATGAGGTACACATAGTGTTCTCAAGAACTGAGGATCTCTTTTCTTCCATCTAAAAATACATATGTATTGAAATTAGAATTATTTTTAATTTGAATTATGGTAATTTTAAAGAAAAACAACATCATCAATAAAAAAGGAAAGTGACAAATTGTGGTTTTGAGGATAAGACATCTTTGTTCCCACAAAAAAAAAACAGAAAAAGATTTGTCAAGCTACTGCTTGGCTGAAATTCAACTTGTCTATTTTGTTGCTTTCCTTTGCCATCAAGATTAATAGGACCAGTGTTCTTACAAAGTTTCAAACAAGCTATGCATATAAAGTCCTAGACTTATCAGTAATGAGGCAACCATTTATACCAATTAACCCTTTGCCAAATTCCCAGCCAAATCATAGATGTTATGAGTCAAAGTCAAATCTAACTCTTCCATTTTTTCAAATGTTCTTTAAATTTACCCATTTGACCATTTAGTAATATGCTCATGAATCTAGTACATACATAACATGTACAGGCATTACAAATGATGGATGGTGATAAGATGTAGTTACCTTTTGTTTGATACTGAAGGCTAGACTTGTTTCCCAGCATCCTCCACCACAGAGAAGTATGAGATACTGTAGAATATTCTGTAAGCTACTCAATGCTGTCTCACACACCAACTACAACCCATGTTTATACAAGTTAAGTGAGTCGAATAAACAAAGATCTACATTTGGCAACAACAAAAAATAATTAACAAACAGTAAAAGTTGTCTATATCTGGATGTTGTGTATTCCAAAATACTGCTTATTGCATGTGCAATGAAAACTTTTAGTCCCTTTCAGTAAATTCAATTGTTTAAAATGTTTTCTAATCTGGAATGTTTTCTAGAGTGACAGATTTCTATGGAACCAGTGGTGTCTGAATTAGAAAAATTTTACTGTGTAAGTACACTGGCAATTTTTTTTTTACTTTTTATCCTACTTGATTTAGAATATTTTTCAATCTTCCCTAGTAATACATGTATCATGAATAACATTATAACAATATTGAAATGATCTCTTGAATATTAAACCATATTTCCCTGTTCCTAAACATTTTTCTTTCTGTTGTATATAAACTATGTCCCCACACTTTCTCCTGATTAAGCATACTTACATGTCTATCATGGGGTCAATTTTAGAATTCCGTTGTATTAAGCATCAACTCTTGTTCCATTTTCTCACCTTGAGCTCTGATACTATCTCCTCCTCCATACCATACAATAAAAGGGAGTTAACTCCTCTGTCTGCTCTCTGTAAGTGGAGGTAACTCTTCTTGTTCAGAATGACATGATCTATTGCATCCAACCAACCAAGATTCTTCTTTGGGTCACAGGAGAATGAGTCTATAGGGATTGCACCTGCAAAAACAATAAACCAACTAGGTTATATGTCATACAATTCATCATAATATTTCTCTGATTCTGTTACTGAAGCATACTTCAACTATTAGAATCTGCAGATTTGTGACTGCAATACTAATACAACATTTAGGAATATAGACTAACAAGCTCATGTTTTTGCCATATAATAAGCAAAAACTTCTGTATTAAGCTTTCTTTCCTTTCGATGTACATGAAAGTTTACAAGAAAAAAATCAAATTATCCTCCAGTTAAAAAAATTACCTGTCAAATCCTGAACAAAGCTGGAAATCCTTGCTCCCATTCGCTCAATTAAAAATATTCCCTTCTCTCTTAGGTGTGATTTTATCTTCGGATGGATGACCCTTTGACACATAATCACTCCTACTTTATGACCAATTATGCCATTACAAAATGTTTTAATATATTCTATTACTGTTTGTTGTGCATTTACTTCAGCATTCTGATGATATTGACCCTGAATGACCTCTTCACTGTCACCTGACATGGATGCTGTCACCAAGGCAACTAAGATTCTTCTATCTTGTATCATGTTAAAATGAAGGGTCTTTATGTTAGAAGAAGAAATTTCTGGGTACAACAATAAAATTCCTGGTACATATTTAGACTGATCCACTGATAAACCCTCAGAGGTCAAAATCATGATACAATTAGCATTCTTATGATCTTCTTTCACAGAGGACAAAAAACATTCAACAATCAAAGATGCTATGTGCTTTAAACATTCATCTGACAATTTACAAAGAGGTTTAGAGGACAGAATTGTTTTCACTAATGATAATATCTGAACAGTATTAGACAAGGAAAGATTCACTTTTCCAGGAAAACTGTCAGAATTCAACACACTCAAAGCCAGTTCCATTAGTTCATCATTCAGTTCTATCAAGCATCTGTTATTAACTACAGAATTCTCAGCTGATTCCACAATGTTCAGGCACCATGCCATCAGAGACAATCCACCATCACTGAATTTTTGAAGATGACCTTCAGCTGATGTTACCAAGAGCTTAAGAAGTGGCTTGGATATAGACAACAAAGGTAAAAGTCTCCCAGATGATGAGGTCAAGGTCACATGTCCACCAGAAGCATTCTGTATGACCTTGACCTTACCATATGGACCCCTGCTAGTCTGGACAATGTTTTTTAACAGTCTTATTCCTTCTAGAATGTCTTTGAGTTCACCATGATGAACTTTGCTCTCCTCTTTTACACTTTTTCTTCCACTCATTCTTGCAGTGCTTCAATGTTATTATGTTTCCTCTGTCTGACTGACCCGAATAAATTGACTTTGTTCACGTCTCTTCCTTTCCTCGAGTTTAGCTTTCCTCATTTCATATCTCTCTAACCCTGTAGAGGGCATGTCCATGCGAATAGTATGAAGTCTATATTTCTCCAAAGCTTTCCTTAAAAACACTGTACCTAACAAAATTCCTAAGAACTGTTTGGGTGATTTCACGATTCTAGTTCGAGTAGGTTTTTGCATCATCAATTAGTAAATGTGATATATAGTGTCCTTTAAATTATGGCTCTGTGAAAAAGAAAAAAAAAAAGGGAAAACATGAGGAAATCACTACCGTCTTACAAATTAGTGGGACAAACAGAAAGTCAACTTATATACTGTATGTGTATTTTAAAAAGCATGTTACATATTTTAGTGGCTTTGCCACAACAATGCACTATCTCATGAATACCATTAATATATCATAAATAAATACTATAGTCTATACATGGCGCTGACATGTGCAACACTAAATCATGATTACCACTCAATATAGTCCGAAGTATCTGACATTTTCCACGCTTTTTTCACGATTTTGATATTTTACGTGCCAGGAAAACGTCAGAACTGGCGCCATTATGAAAACTGGAAATTTCACCGTCTCAAACCGGAGCTGATTTTCGATACTTGCGAACTGAATTAAATGCTGAACTTACATTTTATTAGTAGCACAATGCTTCTAGTACTCACCAATATCTATGAAAAGAAAACATCTGTTCACATTTCAATACAGGTCTTGCAAGATTTTAAAATGCACGAAATGAAAAGAAAACTTGACGGTCTGATAAAATGTTTTCACCAGACTGTGTATTTCATAAACAAACCCATAAAAAAGATGTTGGTGAGTACTAAAGGCATTGTACTTTTAATAAGTTGTGAATTCAGCATTTAATTCGGTTCGCAAGTATCAAAAATCAACCCGAGAATGCCGCCTCCAGTTGGAGGTGGCGAATTTCCAGTTTTCGTAATGGTGCCATTCTGACGTTTTCCTGGCACGTAAAATATCAAAATCATGAAAAAAGCCTGGAAAACGTCGTATATTTCGGACTACACTCAACACTGAGTGATAGTGCTAAATTTTGATGCATTAATTTATGTACATGTACAATATGCCTCTTAAGTCATATAATTAGTGCAAAAACAAATAAATGCATTTCATCTTATATTATAATTTGAAGTATACTCACAATAAATAATTTAACATATTATGTTATCAGTCTTTCCTTTCTAGCTTCTGTGCATATTTTTCCTTATATTCAGCAAAGTCATCCTTATCTAGGTTAACATATGGACGCAGTTCTGGATACTTCTCATAAATTTCTTGCTTTGCAACCTCTAATAATTTTTTTTCTTTTTCTTCAGAGTATTGAAGCCAGGACTGGTGCATCAGATACCAAGATCCAAAAAATGCTCCAAGTACAGCACCAAGCTTAGGGATATTTAATTTACCTCTCATTGCTCATTCTTTGCTACAGTACCAGTCTTTTCCTGCCACAGATATCTGAAATCAAACTTGATTTATGAAGCCACGATACATTTTTAAATGTTGTCATTTAAAGTTATACCAAACAAGGGCTTAAGCAACACATAAAACATATAAAACCAGGGACCTATATACTAGTATATAGGTCTCTGGTAAAACAAAGATAAATTATTAAAAAATGTACAATTCAACAAACAGTCAAATTACATTTTAAGTGATGCAAGATTTGCATTTTTTCACGATTATTTACAATGTATTGCCAGGGACCTATATACTTAGTATATAGGTCCCTGGTATTGCATCATAAAAATAATTAAGCACGTTTGACCTTTATACAATTATCGTAACTGGGGAAACTCGAGTTAAATATGGCACGGGTGGAAATACAATGTCACAGACATTATATGCGTATTAAATCAACATTTTCATGAAACAAAATTATTACCCACTTATTATTTATGACATCGACAACACAATGCAGGCAGAGACTTGGGCTGTACCTTGCGTATCATGCCAACACGGTGAACACCATGAACATTTGTAATCGGACTCGACATTCAGGCAGGGTGTGGGAAGGGGAGACGACTCTAAAACAGCGCGAAAAAATGGAAAGGAGAAATTTTCTTAGAAGGAATATATACAATATAACAAAATACTTAAAGGTATGAATTGTTTTCTTACGGACATTCTGCGCTGCGAAATGTCTAGTGATGTCATTAATTATGTAATGAGCATGCCGAGGAATCGGTTGCTAGGGTTGTGAGTGTTGAGAATTAATATCCAACATATCTGTTATCAGTTGCTTTTGGTGACAAAAAATATCGCTTTATATATTCTGAATTATCCAAATGTTAGTTAAATTATATATGACCATAATCCGTATCAATTCTATATTGTATGTCTCCTATACCCTTGCAGAGGTACCTGAAGTTTTATCAGCAAGTTGCAAATGAAGCCCTAGCTCAAAAAATACTAGGATGGAATTTACGGCTGTTTTTGCACTTTTATTAAGTGATCAGATATCAGTTGTCTTTGATCCTGATCAGGACACGCAGACTTTGCCTTACATATTATATAGATAACATAGATAACAATCATAAAGGTGAATTTTGTTATCTTTGATTACCTGCTTTTAGCACAGGCCCCTGAATTTCTATCAATAAGCCGATATATGATTGATCAGAGTGATATATATACCCCCTGTATATATAAATACACTGTATTTATATATCACCTCACCTATCCTCTTTGTGCCCGCTGGGACATAAGGCCCCGATACACTTCTTCCACCTGTCTCTGTCTTGTATTTATATATAGAGGGGGTACTGTATAGGGGGAAAATAACTCGCTGTGTTAATATTCGCTATATTCACGGTGTTAATAAATCCGTGAATTCAAGAAACAGTGAATAAGTTTTAAATATTAAACCTCAATGTTTTATTTGGAAATTTGAGTATAGACAACGATAGGTATATATACGTGCAATACATGGTCATTCAGTAATTACGAGTCGTACTTGTCATTCAATTATCTTAATTATCACGCTTTACTTTAATTCAAATAAGCAGCTAATAACCTGTATTTACCATGTTTACTGTTAAAAAGCTGTTTTAATAGATACATGTTTCATCAATCAAAACACTTGGGTCATAGGTTTTGATTACCCATGCGTAAAGGTACCACGTGTATTTGTTACCTGCATTAGCATTATGCTATTAGTTTTAATGGAAATTTTGGATTAAAAAAATATCATTCGAATAACTATCGAACTTGCTGAAGATATGGAAGGATATCATTACATCTACCTACATTAATACATTTATTAGCGTCCAGTTTTTTTATCGCTGCGATGTGTTATACATTTGGAAAGATGTGTACACATGCACTCATCGTTAAAGATTTGACGTTTACAGTAAAAAAAAATTTAATAACGGCACTTGTTTTGATGAATTATTAATTAATTAATTAACTACTAAATCTAATCATTTTATATAAACTTAACCTGTTGACCGTGAAGTGAATACATAACACTGATAAATGTCGTTTCTAGCTATACTATGGATTACATGGATAAAGACAAGGGAGGTAACTTTTATTATATATCGATTACGCGAATTCAACAAACCGCGATCGTGTCCGAGGAGAGAAAAACGTGAAAATTACAACCCATGAAATTAATCCCCTCTTCAGTATATATATCACTCTGATCAATCATATACGGCTTATTGATAGAAATTCAGAGGCCTGTGCTTTTAGATATCATTTGTCCAGGCCAGTAGGAAGTATTTTCACTTTGAGGGCACAACCTTACATTTCCAGTTGGGGGGGGGAGGGGGCACTATCAACTACCAAAATTCCTTGACAAGCCAAAAAAAAAAAGGTCAGCAGATGTTATTGTTGAAGGGGCACAAGCATATACAATACATGTAGTAGCTATGTTTTCAATAGTATTCTATATGTCGGCAAATTATTGGGGGGCACGGCCATGCATTGTCAAGGCTAGATTAATATTTCTAATCTTTAATTACTCATGTTGAAAAAGTTTGAGATGAAATAAAATGTTTAATGACTGTAGCAGGTTTATTTATTGATCCATATGGAAAGGGATGTGTTCAGGGAAAGGAAAATTAATTATAAAGCATTCAGTATAACTTGATAGAACATTGGCTGTCTTTGAAACTTTTCTGGTTGTGAATGCATCTGAGATTTATATCAGTAATACAAGGCATGAACAGAAATCAGTTGTAATTAATATATAAACCAGACAGGGATTATCACTTGTGTGAAATGCAGAATGTACATGATAAACATTTTTTGGCAAATGGGTACTCTAGGAATAAAACAGTTATGAGGCTTAAATTAAAAAAAAAATGGCTGATTTTTTTTTTCTTCTTTTAATTTTAGGTTAGTGACAAAAAAGCTATCCAAATGGAGATTCATAGAACTAATAATGAATCCTCCCAGAGAAAGAGTTCAAAGAAAGTGGAAAGAAGGCACTTAAAGGTATTATCACAATACTCACAAATCATTTTATGAATGGATAATTTCCTCCACTCTTATTGGCAGAAGAAAAGACTTTATTTTACTTGCATGTCCACCAACATGTTAGTGTCATTAAATTGCTTGTTGAATTTTGACATCATAATGATATGTCACTTCAAGAAGCAGTAACTTTTTCCTTTTCATTGTGAGTAATTGAGCAAAGATTACCTTCAAAACTATGTATTTATTATATAATACATTGTTTAAATATTGTTTGGTCAATACAAATATTCAGCTACCTGGGTATCTTCAAAGAACACCTTTTCTCAAGGTTTCATGAAAGTAGTTCTTTTCTGGAAGTTAATTAAATCACTGCATTGTATATCTGAAATAGTAATTCTGTAATGAAGTGCATGTACTTCATTTTGCTCTGCTATAGGAAATAGAAAGTTTACTACGAGACATCATCACAAAGCGTATAGAAAATGAAGACAACAAAAGTAAAAACACTTCAACGGAAGCTAAAATTATAACAGGTTTGTATTGTCACATTTAATTTATTAGCAGGTAAGAATTTTGAAATGAAACTATTGAATATGTGGTAAAAAAAATGTGGCAAAGACACCTATGATGCTGAAAGGAGCATATAAGTAGTATGTTTAAAATACTATCACCAACATATAGCCAATCTTCTAGGATGCATACAACAAAGCTTTGATTATGAGTCGTGGGGATTTTGCTTATCGACATTTGCAAATATGTCATTCTGAATCTACCAAAATAACCCTTTTCTTCAAAGCCATAACCTTTCTAGTACTTCACTTTTTGTTTGCAGAAAACATTTTTTTTTTACAACTAATTGAAAATTTAGTCAAATCTCAGAATCGCTATTCTCATCAAAATTAATTGATACAATTTTAATACTGGTAACAAAAATAGTAATGTAATCAGTCTATATATTATAATTGTTTTCCAATAAAGGTGAAATGATTAGACTTGGATATACCTTCAAGAACAAAAGAGAAAATCAGATTTTACTTCTGTCTGATGAAAGCGATGAAGACGGTAAGCATTTGTGTTGCTCTCTATGTTCTAATTCATTGATATTCAGTAGATAAAACAAATCTTTGCATTAATAAGTTTGGGAAAATCAAACCTTGCAGATTTTTTTGCTCACTCCCTGAAGATTCATAAAGAGAAATTAGTGGTATTCTACTACTCTTTAGAAGAGCCTGATAGCCCAGGTTCTACTGCATGCATGTCACAGGTTAGTTTTACATATTTTCAAGTTATCTTCCATCTTCGCCAGCCAAGTGTTTATGATCGGCTACTCTCCTCACAAACTCTTGGCATATCATGGTATCAAAAGTTGGGATTTTTTTCTCGAGATATGATTGGATTTTATTGATATCATTTGACCATTCAGCAGTGTATTGCAAAGCTTATGTAAATGATGTCTCCCTTTTGGATTTTTCTTGATTCTATAGTCTTGGAAATGAAATACACATGTAAATAATAATCTGTAAGATAATGTGCATTCTATAAATAGCTATGGGGCCATCCAACTTAAAGTTTATGTGCACGTAATGTAATTGCAGATATATACTTGCATCCTAAAAAACAAATAAACATCGCTCGATACCTGCTTGTTAAATATTCCCATTAAATACTGTAGATTCATTATTTTCCTTATTATCGCAAAATGGCTCTTTAACGTTAAATGGTGAGAACAATTATTAGCATGAGGACGGTTGATCAAGAGATTTTACATTGATTTCACCACCATAAGAATAAAAGAGAGTAATTTTATTTTGTGAGTGGTGCTTCTCGCGAAATTAGGCAATAATTAATTCCTTGTTATTTAGGAATCTACAGTACTTCAATTTTTAAAAAAGCTCTTTATTTCGGTCAATGACGCAAGTTTTGCATATGATTCGAGACACATAACAGTTTTGACTTAAAATTACAATAGGCCAAGGGTATGAGAGGAGTGTAGCGGATCAGAAACCCTTGGCTAGGGAAGATTTTTTATTCTAGCTCAATGGAGTGTGTTCATCTGTATATCTTTCTGTCTATTTTAATGTCTCACTTAATTAACACTTCTGACATCCTTCAAGAACTTGAGGATGTAGGAAATTCAGTTTTAAATCTTTACTTTGGATCCAAAGAGGGCAGAAATTGTTATCATTTAATTTATAATGCAATTTACAAAACATTCTTTTGATGTGATAAACTTTTCTATATATTTATACATGTACTGGTAAACAAAATCTGTCAAATGAGCTTCATAATATATAATTTTTCTATGTTTTGCATATTACAATACCCCCGGTACTTTAACTGCTCTGATGTTTGAGTACAAAGTAGGAATAATTAGGGTCTTAATTGTAACTTGCATTGCTTTACCAATTAAATATAATAATTTTACATATTCTCAGAAATTTTGCAGATGATAATCATCTAGATTAAACAGATGAGTTTCTGTAACTGTGCAAGATCATTCTAATAGATCACTGGATTTTATTTTCAAGGAAAAAAGTTAAAGATCAAAAAATAATGAAAAATGATTTATTATGAAAGCTAGAACCTACTTGAGTTTATCCATATTAATTGAATGTGTATCAGATGCCAATTTTTTTTTTTTTTTTTGGTAGATGTTAAGAGCCTTGAATGATGGGAATCTGTCTCAGTCACAAGCAGGTACTGTTAGCATCAGTAGTTACTTCCAGAAGAAAAATCCTTCTTGTACAGCTGTCAGAGACAATAAAACTGAGTCAACCAGTGAGAGAATCAACACCGAGTCTACAGATGGAAGGACTAAGGAAAATATGGATCATCATAAAGAAGACTTTTCAGGTTGTGATGGAAAACACCATGCAATCAAGAAAATGTGAGTTTAAAAATAGTAATGTAGGTTAGTAGGTCCATATATAGATTAATTGCTTGTAGCTATAATTTTGGTTTTACTGGTGAAAAAGGAGAAGAGGTTGTATATTGGTAAATTGCGCCCGTCTTCCCTCTGGTTTTCTTAACAGACTTGTAATGTCTGTTTATTATATTGTTTGTACACCTTGTACTTATTGTATCTTCTCTATACACCGTTTTTCAGTTATGAGAATAAAGTTCATTGTCATTGTCATTGAATGTCTTTGTGCAGTGATAATTTTAGTCTCTAATTTCCATAAATCTAGTTATATCTGGTTTTGTAATTGGATTTTGATGAAAATAGTGTTGCAGTGGTCATTTGAAGTAAAATTTTCAAAGAGTTACTTCTATAATGTTGATCTTATTTCATTCAAGCTTGGTGCACAAGATGACTTCTGTTGCTAACTGTACATATGTTTATGCTTTCTTTTGAAAACAGGGTAAAACGTTGTGCACCTGCTCTGTCAAGAAGAATGAAACGTAGGAATGTGGTGGCTACAAACTCTAAAGCAGCAGATGTTTATGACTTTGACGATTCCAGGGATAGTATGGATACAAAAAATAACTTTGATTCGGTTGAAGTGTCAAATGATGAGTGTGATCAACATACAAGTACAGAACCAAGGTTGTCCTCAGAAGCGGATGGTCAGTGTTGCCAGGACAGAGGATCTCCATCTAAGATTCTAGCTGAAATTGCCTCCAGAAATTGTACAGATTTTGACCATTCCTCAAGGAGTTCTTCAGGAGAAAGCTTGACTGATAGAATTAGGGACAAAAATATACATGTATCAGATTCATCTGGAAAGTCTTCAGAAAGGGATTCAAGTGTAGTCATTGAATCTGATAGCAGCAGTACCTGTGCAGTTGACACTACTTTCTTTAAGCAAAACAACAACAGTAAAAGTGGCAGCAATCCTGTAACGATGGAAACTTCTTCGAATGAATCCAACAAATTGAAACCAGATTCTGATGAGATGGAAGATAGTGGAAGAGCACAACTTACAAGCAACAACTCTTACAGGGACACACTTTTGAATTCTTATTCAGAATTACCAGAAATAAGTTTCTTGAAAAGGACTTCAAAGTCATTGCTTGAGAATCAAAGGGAGGGAACTCTGAATACAGATTCAAGTGATAATTCAGACACAGAGGTGATAATACAAGATTCAAAAGGTGGGCCTGATTCACCCAAATTTGACAGAGCGGTAGGTGTTAGGGCACGAAAGCGACCTTCCTGTGTGTTGAATTCTTCTACTGAGGATTCAGTGTGTAAAGAACAGGGAGGTGATAAGAGGTCAAAGTTGAAAAGACAAAGGGTCAAACACACTTTACCTGAGTTTTCAACTGACCAGTCAGAGGACATTGATAACTTGCCAAATGTAGAGGAGAGGATCTCTTCTAAAGACGTTGAAGTGAATGAATGGGATGGACTGCCTGTTTTATCCTCTAGTCGGAATTCCAAAAGAGAGAAAAATGACAAGAATAGCAATAAGAACACTGGAATTGAATTTAAGGATGAGATATTAACCACAGTCTCTCATCAGGATGAAGCAAAACCAGTAGAATCTAGTGATCCAATGGATCAGTCTGGTTCAAGGAAGATTGTACTTTTTAAAAGGCCAAGGACTAATAATGTGAAAAAAGATACCAAACCTAGAGTGTTCTCTTTCAAGAAATCCTCAAATTCCAGCAAAGTGAAAAGGCAGTCTATCTTAAACTTCCTTACACTCAGCCAGCAGCAAGAACCGTGTGAGGAGGAGAAAGATGAAGTAGAGGGGGATGGTACAGATTCTGGTAGTCTGGACTGTGTTATCATTGACGGACTGGATGATCTTAGGGAGCCTGAGTTCAAAGATGATGAATCAAAAGCTATTGAGAATGAGATGAATGATTTAAGGTAAATTTTAGTTCCTATTGGAGAAAAATCCCCTACTAACTAAATTTAATATTTTCTGTAATACATGTACTGACAATGGAGATTAATATAGAATTTACTAAAATTTAGTATATTCACAGAATTTGTTATACCTATCAATTTTTAATGATAGTATCAGTAAATTTTTACATTTGCTGTAATTCTTTTCTTTATTTTTTTACTAATTAAACCAACTACAAAATTTATTTGAATGCCATGTTTGTGTATAATCACACACAGAGATATACATAGAGAAACTTGTGCTGATGTCACAAAGAGGCTACCAAGATGGCAATGAAAATATAAAGATATAGGGCAGTGAAATATTCAAATTTTGAATGTATTTCTGTTGGTTTTTAAACATTTTTTAAAGCGCTTTATGAGGACAAGTCTTTGTGATTCGCACACTAATAGCATTCACAAATTAAAAAACAATCTTTAAATAATTTTTTTTAAAAATAGTTATACTTGTTTTAATATTATACATGTAGGTTTAACATATTTTTTTTTATTTACAGAAAATATTTTTTAGAAATTGATAGGTACATCGACTCCTGTGGTATATTATTTGGGCAAAATCTGAGAGGGTATTGTTGATGATGAAAATTTAATGAAAGAAGCATTCTGAAGCAGTAATTTATCAATTTTACGTATTTTAGATACTGTAGATTCTTTATTTTATGTGAGTACTTAATATTGCGAAATGGCCCAAGGACGTCAAATCGCGAGAACAATAATTCGCGAATGGATGATTTATCTAGAGATTTTACACACATTAAAGCACAATAAGTATAAAGGCGAGTAATTTTATTTCGCGAGTGGTACATCTCGTGTAATTACGTGATAATTTATTCCTTGCATATATTTAGGAATCTACAGTATATTTTTCAGTAGAAGGTCATTTCTTGGCCTGGTTCCTTCTCATTATTAGATGACATGTCTTTGTTAATTTTGATACAGGAAAGTAGATGAACTAAATGAGCAGCAGTTACATTATCTGGTCATGAAAAACAAAGTCTACCTACAGGATATATTCTCAGGAAAGGTATTTATCATACCTTGATCATGGTATTGCCTCATCTACCAAAAAAACAAAATACATTGAAACTTTTCAAAGATCATATACAAAAGCATGTAAAAAAAAAAACTAGATAAAAAAGCTAAAAATATTTCCTGTCAACGGTCAAAGCATTGGAACAAACATGAATTTTTTATTTTTTGTTTTCTTTCATTTCATGTGATTAACTTTTGTCTTTGGCTTTTTTAAAGATTGCATCAGACCGACATGAAGTTTATAGACAAGGAGGAAAGGCAAGAAGTGAGATTTACCATATTTTGTACTGATGTTAGAAGTACATTGTCTAAAAAGTTGGGATTAATCACATTTTCAAAAGAAATTAATATTAACAGACATATGAATTTGGTACAGAAATTTTTCTAATCAAATAAAATTTTAAGATTGATAGAGTTTACCGTAGGTTAACAGGATTGCTTACAGTGCCTTTAGTTAGTTTATGTTCATGCCCTGGGTGCTGGATTTTTGTTACTGTGATTGTCTGTTTAATGCATCTGAAATATATACGATAGATATCATAAATGCTGTAAAACAACTCTTTTCAGTAACTTCCATTTGCAGGCCTTGTTGTCAAAAACTTCAAGATTTTAAGGAACTTGGTTAACAGTATTTCATGTTTTTTTTCCAGGGGACTTAAATCACCATGTTCATCTGGGATTATTCACAGAAGATCAGCTTGATGTTGTTATGGAAACCTTAATGTCAATATTTTGCAAGAAGCATCACAAGGTTATACTTACTTTAAATGTTACTGTCTTAAATGATACAGTGTATGAACTCCTATTTTCCTTCATACACATAATAGGGATATCACTTTTCTTAATTACTACATGTAATAGATACATGAAAAACTAAAGTTTCTGAATATTCAGTCACAATAAAATCCTGCCATGTGTTTTGTATGAATTAAGATAAAGTGATATTGATAGACTATGAGCTTTGTCTATTTCTTTGTTACAGTACCTGGAGTACATAATGAAAGTCCTTCTGCCTGAGACTCTCATCAAAATCTACATGGATCACCACAACGTATCACATGACAGAGCAGAGGAAGGAATGTTGGAGGCACTCACAATTCCAGGAGGAATCCATATTTAATGTGACCTCATTAAGGGGCAAATTCTGATACAGAAGTCTGTGATATGGCATCATCTTGTCCACTTCATTAAGAACCTCAATTAATACTGTATCACTTTTTAATTTCTCAGGGGAAAAAAACATGAATCTAGTCAAGAGTTATCTTCCTCTTCACTGTGCTAATGAAGGATATCTGTTAGCATTGTAAGTAATTTCCTGTTTTTGCAGAGTAGACGAATTTAGAATCTTATTTTTTTCCCTCTTTTTTTAGAGGTATTGTTGTCTTTAACTTGATGTTTATGTGTATTGTTATATGCATGTTTAATTGAACAGTATCTAGCTAACAGTCACACATATTTTGCCAATTTTACGAACTTTACAGACTTTAAAGTATAAATGTTGTTTGGTCCTTCCAAGACTTATTTTCAGTAAAAAAGATATGGCAAACATGTAACATTTTGAGTGAATGTTAGAATGTTTTAATGGGTAATTTTCAAAATTATGAATTTTTGATTAAAATGCTCTTGTTATTGAATTTGCTATTAAAATTGTTCTTTTATGAAGTTGTTTCAAGGACTTTGTTTTACAAATGAACATATGACTAAAACATATATCAACTCTTGCAATTTAATTTGTACGTTATGTTGATAAAAAGTGCAAATGTAATACATTTTATATAGAATTTGGTGATCTGATTTTATTATGAGTAAAATCTCACAAAACTATCAAGTTATTGAGATTTTAGGAAGGTGTTATTGCTTTGGTTACTACAAGTAAAACATGCTTTTAGCGAAGTGCCAGGGACGTGCAATTTTGATTATAAACATAATTTGCTATAACTCTTAAGATCACAATAGGTTTTAAAACTACTGGGATTGAAAATCACTTCGCTATATAGTGTGAATTCATTATAAATGTGTTCGCTATAACCGTGTTTTACTGTATCGTATTAAAACAAAAAAAAGAAAGATTATCAACATTTTGGTCTGATTTCAGTTGCAACTTTGTAGAAAAGTAGACAACTGTGAAATGTTAAAAAAGGGTTTCTTAAATGATAGTCTGGAGAAAATCTTGTTTCATGTAGACTCCTCCAACATACAATACTATTATGATATAATTCATGGACAATGTATTTGATTTCATTCAATATTTAGCCAGTGTTACTAGATATGTAATGTTCACAAATTCATTCTGATTGGCATAAAAATTGACAACTGTGACAGTACACTTGTACACTGCACAAGATACAGTGTATTCCATTTATGAATTGAATTTCAATGACATGTAGATGAATGGTCAAAACTTTAAAAAAAAAAAAAAAGGTGATATGCCTGGACTATTTCATTCAAAAATGCTGTGATTCAAAAGAGAAAGTTCGCCTTTTCAAAGAAAAACATAACTCATTTCAAAATAATTAACTTTTTATCTGGATTATCGTGGGCTGGTACAAAACGACAGAGCTACTTGTGTATAAATATCCTCGTAGACTTCTAAATCTACTGCGTTTGCTAGTCCTAAATATATTTTCTTTCCTATAAATCTAGCACAACAGGTTACGATGATGCTGCTGTTTTCAAAGGATAAAAATTCAAAACGAATGTTAAGTTGGTAGCAATAGAATTCAAAACAGGTTTCATGTGACACAAAAGCGCGCTTGATCAGCAAGTTTCACTTGTATCCGAAGATACATAAATATTCATAAAACTTTGGCAATGTGGTAGTGCAATACATCTCAATCTGCGTGTAACGTGGTGAAATACATCTCCGTGTACGTGTCGAAATGAGAATTTTCTCACGAGAGTCAAGCAAATTTACATGTACAGACCATACATGTATCAATGCTGATCTATAAATAGCTTGGGCCAAAAAATCCCCCGCCCTCATCTCTGCCCGCCCCTCAGTGTCTTACTCTGACGCTTTGTTCTTTTTACGTTTAAAACTGTATGAAAAGAAAAAAAAAAATCAGGATCGTGTACCAAAAAAATCTGAACATAAAAATTTATATTCCTTAGTATTGTAGACATATTAGCGTAATTAAAGCTGAATAGAAATATTAATATGCTGCGCGTGTTTTCATATAAAGAAAATGATCCACTAATCCTCCCCATTTTTTTTTTTTAATTTTTCACAGGATTACACTCAAGCAAGTTTTAAATGTGGCCTAACATAGAATTACGGTTATTCATTTGCAGTAAGCAGTTTTATGTATGAGAGAATTCAAAATATTTTAAAGGTGCAGAAACCATAGTTGTTCTGAAACTCGTCAATCCATGTAGTATTATGCACATCTTTTCTAAAGAAAGGAGTAGAAGAAGAATATAACCTTTAGCAACATTTTATTTAGAAACAATTGAGGACAAACGGCATACACAACAGTGACAACACCTATGATGACACAGAGTGGGCCTATCACAGATTTTGAACAAATAAAGTGAGAGATCTATAACAGTCACAACAAAAATGATTGCAAAAAAGGAAGTTGAAACGAAGATACAGTTTATGGAAGTCATTCGCCACAACTTTTACAATGGATTCGTTCACAGCGCCTCGGATACAGTGTCAGACTTGATGGTTAACCTTAACCGCCCCTCTTTTTGCTGCCATCTTTTCCTCCTTTCTGTTTTTTGCCTGACGCTCTGTCTTGGTCCTTCTTTCGTCTGCTTTGGCCTTTCTCGTGTTTGCCTTTGGTGCTGGGTCTTTTGTTCTTCGTGTGCTCGCTAGCACCTTTCTTCCCGCGCCTACTGATAGCTCTGCTTATGGCTCTGGCTGCCGCCCTAGCAACTGCACCCCACACTGCATCAGCACCAGGAACCAGGAGACCAGCATTGTGTGATATTAGTTCGTTACCGCTTAAAAAGTTAACCAGGGACCCAAAATCACCAACGAAAGCTAGTACGAAGAGCAAAACTATTGCCTTTTGATGGATCCTCATCTTGAGTCCCAGTGATTTACAAGACGATGTAGACTGATATTTATATACTGTCCATTCAACGTGTGCAAATTGATGTTTATGTTTTTATAGCAGTTTCTAATTAACAAAAAAAGACACTGGGAAATACGCATCTATCTAATTATCATACACATTTTAGTCGTAATTAAGTTTCAGAAAACGCAGACGACCACCTGTTTATACTTTCTGTTTCGTTTACGTAAAAGGCGGGGTTAATTAATTATGCCAGTTTCAAGTGCCAGAAGAGTGAATCAGCCGACAAAGACGCGACGAAAATTAAAAATGTTTCGTTCTACTGGATGTTTCATGTCTAATTCCAAATTAAGATTTTTTTCAATTCAATTTTGTATATATATGACAATTTTAATATACAATTTAAATTGAAGAAAAACAAAATAATTTTGGTTGAGGACACCTATTTACAAGCTGTTGGTCCAGAAAAAAGTCATCTACAATTTCTGTTACATGTATTTTTATATTTAGACAATGGAACGAAACGATTATTTCATTAACTTAATATTTTTAAAAAAAATGTCTGAATCTGTAGTCAGGTGACCCTGGGATGGTAAAAATAATGTGTAAGGAGAGGATATTTGACATCTCACCGCGTTTTGACCTCGTATTTTGACTGACGATTCTGATCATTTACGTCAGGCGTTTGTGTTTTTCTTTTTTCGACAACATATAATGAAACAAAATAAAAATAATGACATAAACAACAATGATAAATATACATGACACCTTGATATATTTCAGTTTATTGACAAATTTTGCGAACGCTGAACTAGTCCACATGCACTTGGTGTTCGGAATCTTTTTTCTCAGCTTTCGTTTTTAATATTTAAAATTCTTATAAATTTGTGAATTACAATAATTAAGAAATATTCTATCATGCAGTCTTCTAAATCTAAAATTCCTGCCAAATTTCGTACTTAATTTCTTACGGACGAATTACAAGTGATTAGAGCAAAGTCAAAAATTAGAAAATATGAACTTAAACGAATACTGGTTTACACAATATTATTCCATAATACCATAGATAGAGTTAAAATTATTTTCGATAAGGTTTTATTCCTCATAAATATTATTTTTACAAGTTAGCATAAATGACAACTATTTAAGATGTGTGAAATTTGTCATAAATCAAGTTCATATTGTTTTAATAGTCAAAGGCAATTTAAGGACAGAACGTGAGAGTAGCTTAAATTGTGATCGTATTGAAACTTCTACGATTACCTGGATGTCTGAATTTCTATAAGTCTAGTATAATATTTATTCTAATGTGCTATCTCGGAATACTTTTTTCCACTTCACAGTTCTAATTATAAATCTTAATATATATATAATTCATAACATTTTACTGATAGAAACAAATTGAAATGTGGAAATGTTTTAGATTATTTCACATCCATCCGTGCAGTCATTTCATTTTCGACAATTATTTTATAATTTTTTTCCTTCAAGTTCCTTAAAATTTGAGTCATTCGCATAATCTTGTTATTATATGAATATGGCCGGGGCATATAGAGTTTGTCATGCCCGTCTTCCTTCTGTCCTCCGTCACGCTTTGCATTTAGCTCAGTTCATAGCTCAGTTTCAAAGAAACTATTCACGATATTCTCATCAAACTAATACAAATTTTCATGTTGCTTATATATATATATATATATATATATATATATATATATATATATATGACATACGGCTTTAGGAGACCAAGGAGGATATATTTTCTGGCTTAGGGAGACCGCTGGATTAAGGCGACCATTTTCGGTCTCCCTATTATTTTGACCTCATCAGTATTGCAAATGTCTTTTTATAGATAAATAAACAGTCTGCCATTAAATATTATTAATCTTTAACTCTGTTATTTAACATTCAAAAGTTGTCTAATTTCTATCATCTTCCCTAAAAAAGAAAAGAATTTATAACCTACGTATAATTTCAAAGGATAATTTTTCTGCATTTTGGAGACCATGAAAAACATGCAATTAAACAAAAAATCTAGCATATATATTTTTTCCGCTTTTGATTTGTTCAAATGGGTGTTTCTTTAACTTAGTTTTCCATGTTTTATGTTAAAAACCTAAAAAGGAAAAATATTGTAAATTTATGAACCATGTTTTGAATTCTTAGCAAGTGCTTTCCGTCATTTGTTCCGAATGCCATCGGAATGCCCCTTCAGTTTTCAGAAAATGACCTCTGAACACCATGGATGTTGAGAAATTTGGGTAAGTAACTAAAATGATACAGTAATAAGTTGTAATTAAGAATTTACACAAGACAAACAATCGTTTGTTTGTTTGTTGTTGTTTTTTTTTTTTTTGCCTAGTAATTTAGCTTTCAAGAGAAAAAGTATGATTTTTAAATAATCGTTAGACTATAGTTCGGTATATAAAATCCTGAAGGAAATTCGAAATAAAGTTATATGATAGGCCCCTATATTTTTTAAATTCTTTTATGCAAGTCCACAAACAAATTAAATATTTAAAGATTAGGCCGAACATTGAAAAAATAGTCTCGCAAGTTGA